CGGTTCTGGGTGAGAGGCCGGCGGTTCTGGGTGGACACGCGGTTCTGGGTGAGAGGCCGGCAGAGGTGCTGTTTCCTGGCCATTGTTTCGCAGCAGGTCCAGGGCACAGGAAAAAACAAAATTCCAAGGGAGGCGGCGGAGGCTCCGCCTCCCGTGTCCAGGGCTGCCAAGTCAGCCCTCTCCGGGGAAGAGAGGGAGCACCCCAGGGGGTGTGGGGTGCAGGTGGCTCCGCTTCGCAGGCGCCTGCCTTTGCGCCCGCAGGCCAGGCGGGGTGGTTCACTGAACGCCCCTGCACCTTCCCAGCGGGGAGCAGTCCTCATTTAGGGGCCGTAGCTGCCGCAGCCCCGCTAGAGGAGGTGACCCTCATGTGGAAGGGCTGGGGCGTCAGAAACTTCGGAAGCTCCACCCTGCGGCAGCTCACCGCCTGGAGGAGAGCTTTTGGGGGTCCGGATTGGTGTGGTGCCGAAGGCCTCTTCAAGGGCAGCCTCGGACATGGGAGACGGTTTTGGACACCTGGGGGTGTTTAAAGCAGGACGGCGATCTTCCCGGGGACTTCGGGGCACTTCTGCTGTCCCCGCACGACCGCCTCTGGCAGGCAGGGCAGCCGGAGGCGTCGGCCCTTCCCCGGGGACAGGGGTGCGTGCCCGGGCGAGCCCAAGCCTGCGCGCCGCGTGGGCACGGTGCGGGAGGGGGCGCTGGTCAGTGGTCAGCTGGAGCCGAGCTCCCCCGCCGTGGGTTCTGGGGTCCCCGAGAGGGGGCGAATCCCGACACCGGTGGCTGGCAGCCGCGCCCGCGCGGATCTGGGCCCAGGGTCCTCCCCCGCCGCCGCGCCCCGCCCGTTGCCATGGGAACGCGGCCCGCACGGCTCAGTGAGGCCGGAAGCTGGCGGGCAGGCGGACGTCACACCGACAGTTTGGGGGTGCCGCCCCGCCCCAGTGATTGTTGGCTAGCAAGGAAGACTCGAGGTAGATGTCAGCGAGGGGCCCCGGGGGTCCCCGGCACAGAGGGGACGGGTCAGGGATACCGCGGCCGGCCCTAGCTTCTAGGGGCAGCCAGGCTAACGGCCCCCAAGCCTCGAGGCGGCGGCGTGGAAACGCACCGGCAGGCGCCCAGCAGGCCACGCCCGCCCCCTGCCTCCAGGCGCAGGCCACGCCCCAGGGCTGGGGCCACGCCCCTTCCGGGGCGCGCGGAAGGAGCCCCGCCTGGAAGGGGCCGGCGCCCTGGTGGAACAAGGCCCGCAGGACCCTCAGTGCGCAGACGCGGGCGAATTCCGCATGCGCCCTGCGAAAACCCGCGCCCGCGCTGCGGCGGCGCCTGGTGCCTCTGCGCCTGCGCGCGGTCCCGGCGAGCTCGCGGGTTGGGC